ATTAAAATGAAGTTGGATTTATTCCTAGTTTAAATTCTTTAAATCTTTTACAAGATCATTATGTGTATTCAGACTCATTAAAAGCTTTCTCGATGTAGTAAAGCCTTTGTTTTTTAATTGGAATTCATGTATTAAGATCTGAACAAACTCATGTTAAATTTGTAATTTTAAATTAAGATCTATCGATCGAGTAGATGAACAGGATGATATCGGGTCTTCATGTGTAGATGGAGTATTAGTATCTTAGTGCAAAGAAGAGAACAGTGCCTCTATCACATGAAAACTGGCCATGAAAGCAGGTGATGTGTACTCAAAAAATTAAAACTTTACCTTACTGCACAACCGGTGCGGAGTACATGCACTATCTGTAAAGTTATAAAAGTTACAGCGCTGCTAATGCAAACGAGTGCGAAATTTGGTTGAGTTAAGTAACTTTTTACTTAATTAGGGTGTTCAAACCTCAAAATCAATTCATGCAAGTTTTGTGCAAGTTCTGTGCAAGATATGAATAGAACTTGCACGGATCTTGCACAAAACTTGCAAGAGTCGGTCTCGCACGGTTTTTGCACGGTTTGGAACACAATAACTCGGGTTGTCAAAAAAATTACTGTGCAAGATTAGTGCAAAAAATCTTGCACGGATCTTGCACGGATCTTGCACGTCGGTCTTGCACATTTCTTGCACAGGTTTGAACACCCTAAATGTTGTGTTTGTTACCGCACGTGACCAAATTAACAACCGCAAACGAGTGCGGATGCTCTAAATGCATTTCCATGATCTCTGTTGATCACTCCTAGTGCCCAAGGATTTTCAAGAATCGAACAGAGGATCTGCATTCAAACATGATTGGCCTTAAATTACATCACCCGTTGGAATCTGACACGTATATATGCTATCAATGAGATAGGCCGTTGGTGCAACGGTTTGTGACTGTTTGTGACGGTTTAGTAGGGTTTATTTACACAGGTCATAAAGCTTTATCCGAAAATGTCAATAAGGGGTGTGTAAGAGACAAGCGGTTGGCTTTTCTCAGCTTTTCTCTCAAGACCTACAAGAACAGCCTTGACAGTGAACACTGAGCTTTGCGATGAGTTTTCAACTTTTTGGTTTTCGAATGTTAATGGGACATAGATGGAATCTTTTACTGTGCGATACAATTGCTCATCGAGCCTCAGCCGACACCAGACTTGTTCCCTTCTGATTTTCATCCATGACAAAAGCACGATTTTACTAACCTTCAACTGAGTTTTTGGTTGTTTAGGTTTCAAGAAAAGCAAACGACTGAGTAAGAAAAGTCATGAGAATGAAAAAGCCTTGGAAATTTTGAAATGTTAATGAGCTTCAGTTTAAAAAGTGATGGTGCATTTTTCATTTTGTCAACACTTCACGTTTAAGTTCTTCAGTAAAGAAATAGAATATCTTTTCCCCAAATCATTTTTTAAAGTTTTTGATCAACCAACGCACGATTTATCAGAATCATCAAATCATCAAATCATCGATTGTGAAAAAATTAATCTATTCTCCTAGTAAAACATTTCTACACCTATCCACTACAATTCAATCAAGATGGCATCCACCCAAGGTAAGTTTTCATCTCAATCTATGCTTGTCGTTATGAATTATTGGAGGCTCATTTCTTTTGCTTACGCCCAGCCGGAACCATATCCACCATACCAACATTATCTTTAAATCACTCTGGAAATCGTCGTCGCTTTCATGTGTTCAAGACACTCGGACAAGGTAGTTTTGCAACCGTCAAGCTAGTTCGAAAAGCTGAATCTAAAAATGGAGAGCTCTATGCACTGAAGGTAAACTTAAAAAAAACTTTTCTTGAACTAAATCAAAACAAGGCTAACGTAATGAATTGTATGAATCTTTCGAAAAGGTAATCTCAAAAGATGCATTGACTCATCCACATCACATTCAACATGTTAAAGATGAACGTGATGTACTTCGATCGATTCCACCGCATCCAAATATTCTTAGAATGAATGAATCTTTTTCGGATCAAGCTCGTTTGTTTTTCACTCTTGTAAGTTTCAATCTCGAATTCATTATATCATTCATATCCATAGGACCAAGTCATATTGATTCATCGATTATTTGGATTCTCAATTTTTTTCAGGAGTATTTCGGAGGAGGCAATTTGTACGAACTAATGGAACATTTCCGAAGAGTAAATCCAACTTTTTTCAATTATATATATATATGAATTTTCCATAAGCTGATCTGTTATTATATATGAATGTAGCCATTCACCGAAAAAGAAGCCAAATTCTATGGCATCCAAATCGCTCGGGGTCTCCAACACTTACACGACCATGAGATAATCTATCGAGATTTAAAACCTGAAAACATTGTGATTCGAGAAAATGGTCAAATCGCTTTATGTGATTTTGGGTTTTCGAAATCTTTGAAAGATCAAGACGGTAGGACTTCAACTTTTTGTGGTTCACCTGATTTCATGGCACCTGAATTGATCAGAGGTAATCCATATGATTTCCAAATTGATTGGTGGTCATTTGGGATCTTAATCTTTGATTTCATTGTGTTTTCTCCTCCTTTTAATTTTAATCCATTGCTGATCCTTAAAGCTAATTCTCGTACACGCATAATTCCAGATCAAGGTGAGTGAAAACTTTTTTTCTAAGAATTCTTTTTTTAAGCTGTCATGACTTTATATATATACTAATCTTTTTTTCAATCTTCTTTTGTTTGACAATTCTTTTTCTCTTAGACTTGACAAATCAAGAGAAATTCTTTAGGATCCTTAAAGGGATTTATGCATTTCCATTCCAAGGTAATTATTCTAACGAAGTACGTAAATTAATAGCAGGTCTTTTACAATCTGATCCAATCAAACGAATCAAAGGTGAAAAAGTATTAAATCATTCTTGGTTTTCTAAAGTCAATACCAATACTTCAGTACCACCATGGAAACCTCAACCAAGGAAATTCTCGCTAACTCTTGATGATACTTTGGATATCGAATGTCGTGGATTTGGGTCTCAAGACGATCTTGATGATGGTTTTGATGGGTTTTGATTTTCAGTTTTGGTGATTTCTAATCTTTTTGGGTTACACTCTTTGATTTGTTCTTAGTTTTCTTTTCTGATTTTGATGTTCACAACTAAACTAATTTTATTTATATTTTCAATAAAACCATTCTGGTATCTTTAAAGGACCATCAAATTCACATTGATCCCGTTTTTTATTTTTCTCACATCTCACCCGATGCTACCAACATGATCAGAGAGTATCATAATATTATGCCCTAAATCATAGGGATATCTTTATCTTTCCCACATCTCAACTCATAAAACCACCTTGATTAGATGTTTCAAAGATTGAGGAGATGCCTCTGGTTAGCATAAGTGATCACCGTCAATGGTAGTAAAGACAAGAATCACAAAGTGACGTTGACAAATGCATGAACTAAGGGCTGTACTGTTGAGAGATAAGATGGAAAGATTGTATGTGCGCCTTGAGAAGATGAGAAAAGAAAAGGAGTGTCTGCTATATCCATTTTGTTATACATTCCATGTACAACTTCGGTATTATCCCTCCCCCTGTTACTCCAGGTTGTGGAATAAATTTGTCCATAAAGCTACTTTGTCCATGTAGAGAAGAGATTTAGAAACCTACAACCTGATGAAATCAATTGCTCAAGGAGATGGGCACACGAGAAACATCTTGCGCGCCGAAGCGCATACAAGTAGCTTGGTTGTAAGTCTGCGCAAGGAGATTTACCATACATGTTGAGGTATTTCAATTCTAAGTTGACTGGAGTTCACTTGGATTGATAAATCCAAAGCTTCTGTACTTGGGTCTCCCTCGACTACTCGTGAAAGTGACGTTGATAAGTTTAATACTTGATAAAAACGTTATGCAAACATTCTGTTTACAAGGGAACCCATGGATTCAAAATTCGCAGTGGTTTCACATATGAAGCTTTGGGCACATTTGAAAAGGTAATGTCATCCTGAAGGATCACAAGTTGAATGTGTTTGTTCGGTTTGAAGATGGAGAATGACAAAGTTCAATGAGACTGAAAAGATCCGAAGCTACACTTGAAGGGTGTCGGCCAGCGGATATTTTAATTTTTACGCAACTCAAACGCTGATCGTTGCTCATCCCGGCTTTATCAAAGTAATTCGTGAGTGCGTCGGCTCAGCTTTTCCGATTTATTTTGAAGTTTCTCTAGTTTCATTCTCAAGATAACGGAATTCCATTCCAAACTGTCGAACGCTGTGATCGATCAATCGAAAACTCCGGTGCGGGATCTCGTCACCTGATAAGGATCTCCGTCAAAACCTCGCTTTTGCAGTTCTACAACATCACTCAGTTCTTCGTGCTCGAGTGTCGCATCCATCCTGATAACTTAAGGTGCACCGTCTCGCAAAAATCGGTGACATCAGCTTAACATCAGATTTTCAATTAAACATTTTTGGTCGTTTGGAAGCCTTCTGGTACGATGGAATCGAACTCCTTGAACAAAGAGATGAGGCAAAAACTTCAGGACGCACAGGTATATCTCTCGAGGTCTTCGCCCACTAGCCACTCTGCTGATATCCGATCCATCAATCTCAGAAAATGGCCTCCCGAGCTACAAAGTGTGAAACCAAAGGAGATTATGACGAAGCTTTCCAGTCATACATATCATCTGTTCAAACCTACTTGTATCTGATCCGTAATGTACCGGACGGAAGCTTGAGGATAAGCTTGAAGGAGATGTCGACCAAGTTATTGAATCGGGCCGAACAGATAAAGTCACATCGACGACACATCAAAGCTGCCGTACGGGATCGAGTCTCTTTAGGTTAGGATTTGTCTAGTCCACATATTGTATCGCATCAGAGTATTGATTCAAGTGTTGTTCATAATTATCGGCGAATTCGCGTGACAAAGAGGAACAAGACCTGGTATTGAAAGGATCGGAAAAAATCAATGGCCAATCATATCGCCCGTGGATCTCCTCAGCTTCAAACGAAGTCAATATGAGGTCAGCACTTTTCATGAAACTTCCTCAAGACTCCTTGCTGCTGTGGCCAGCGTGACTTTGCATCTTGACCGTAAACCACGTTCCATATCCTGATCCGCTCATCTGCAGACTTTTGAACTTACAGCCACCTTTGAACCCGGCTCAAAAAAACATCTTCCTTCGCTGGGTCTCCATCTCCGATCTATATCCCAACAGTATTTTGTACAAACCCGGAGAGCCTGATCCAACGGATATAGTACAGGATGTTGTGACAGATTGCTCACTGATAGCCTCGTTTGCAGTGTCTACAAACCACGCGAATCGCTTTTCCTCCAAGGTACGCTACTGGCCGTATGAAGCATACCCAAACTGATGGTAGTTTGTCTCAGCTCAATGTGGCTTGTCTGTACCCCAAAGACTACTCTGGCAATCCAGAAGCCACGACTAGTGGGATCTATCGAGTAAAACTCTTCTTGAATGGAACTTATAGAGAGGTGGAGTCCGGTTTCTTCCCTGTTTAGCATCAAGATGTCATTCTAAAGATGCATAACCACCTCAAATTCTGAATTACAAAGATTCGTGAGTGATGTTTCACTGTTGCTCGGGTTGCGGTTCGTATCTTGAGCCCTCCTGTCTATTGTGGCCTGATCACTATATTTACAACAATAGCTGTAGATGATAAAATTCCCACGGGGATTGAACGACCGATGATGTGTGCTCAATGTCGTGGAGGAGATTTTTTCTGGCCAGCTCTCATTGAAAAAGCAGTCAGCAATCCCCTTCCCATCACAACTTTATATTAGCAGTTTGGCTTTCTTTTGTAAACACATTTCCTTTCCTTTTCATTTACAGTACATGAAAGTGATGGCTGGCTATGATTTTGTGGGATCGTTCGTAGTCCTTCCCCCTTTCTCCGTAGCCCCTTCTGACACTTTTATGGTTCGCAACACAGGAACTCTAGCGTCGATCTTCAGTGAGCCAGAATGATTTCGATAGGCATGCACCCCAGATAACTTGTGATTATACCCTCGTCTGACCAATGCATCGACTTGCTATATCAGTGCTTTGACCGGCTGGATTCCAGAGACAATTTTCACAACTAGGTGACTTATGCACCAATTTTGTCTTTTGTATGATCCATGAATGCCACGCTCATAATTAATCATCTACCTGCAGTGGAGAATATCGCGGTGAAAAGTCTTGGCGTCGGGCGCTTGCAGGCTTTAAGAAAGGTATGTGTAAGTTGTAATTGATCCAGTTCTGTAACGCTAACCTGGTGCCGATATGCCCAAAGGACATTGCTTGGTGACAGTAGGTACCAACGGCAACATCTCCGACGCATTGGACTCGGTGGGACTGATCCCACATCATAATTATGCCATTCTGGGTACTCAATTTCTCTCATCTCGACTTCGTAACAAATGCGGGTTTCTGATACAGATCACATTCCGGAATAAAATTCATGTACGCTCCTAGACATGGACGAAGATGATACGGGTAGAAGACGTGTAAAGTTATACAATGCTTGGAATGCAAGACCGGACGAAAAGTCAACTAGTTGGACTAGCGAGCTCAAAGATGCTCTTCCAGGAATTGAACCTAGTCAACAGAAGGAGCTCGTGGGAACATTCACTATTTCCTGGGAGGCTCTACAAATTTACTTTGATACGATATATATGAATTGGGACCCAAAGATCTTCGAATATCAACAAACCGTACATTTGTTGAGTTCTATCTCTCGTCATTGACCTCTTGGTTTTGCTCCTTTTTTGAATGTCGTTGTTTGATTGCAGCTCAAATGCACCTGTACCTGCATTCACTTTTCGCTTCGGGCCCGTGCCCCAATCACAGGCAGAAGCGGAAGTCTGGGTTTTGCTTACTCGTCACTTAAGTGACCAACCTTCGGACTGCGAGAATTACATGTCGTTCAGCGTATTCCACGATGAAAATGATGATGAGCTCATTGAGGGCACTGATTATGTTCCCCAACCAGTTATTTCTGTAAGTCCACCTGCCTCTTGCCCGATATGCAGCCATAGATTACACTCTGACACGCGTTTTGACGCAATTACAAATAATCAGACCCCACTTTCAAATGCGATCCACGTTCTAACTCGGTTCGTGCCATCCTCGCATCAAGCGGCATACACCATAAATTTTTCTTTTCATTGCCCAAGAACGCCTGCCCAACGATCTAACAACCCTCAGAAACCCAGCGGATATACTCTCAGCATCTACTCGTCATCTCCGTGTTGTTTACAAGACGCTGGTCCTGTCACCCTCCCTTATACCGCAGAAGTCGAGGGCAAATGGACTACCCGCACATCGGGGGGAAATCACAGTCTAACGACTTTCATGAACAACCCAATGTGGAGAGTGACGATTGGTGAAGCAAAGGATCGAACGAAGTTAACATCCAAGAAAACATTGAGGGCAACATTGTTTGCGTGTGACGAGGCAGGAGATGTCGACTCCGGGAAAGCTCTAAATCTCAAACTTGTAAGAGCGGATGGAGATGGTAGAGTCTATGAGTTGAGTTAGAAATTCACAACTGTATCTGAATTGAACTCATTTTGGTAGTCTTTGCAATCCATGTAGTGTCGAAAGAAGAGATCTCGTGGCTGACTCAGGTAGTTATACTCGTGGACGAGCTCAACTTCGGACAAAGGGGATTTTACGTAAGTCTCTACATCAGCCGTGATAGATTCGGGTCATTCGCGAGACAAATCTAATGAGGTTCTTGATCTCTTGCATATTTATCAGCTGGAACATATACGATCGTACCATCCACTTTTTCTGCTGGTGTTCAGGGATCATTCAAATTAAGCGTAGAATGTGAATTACCTCTCATAACCACAACACCCATTCCACTCGAGGGTTCTGGAATGTACAAACGGACTTGCTCCGCGACTTGGGAAGAGGAACGTCAATCTCAAACCCCCGGTTGGAAAGTCTTCGGGGGAAAGGGTGACGTGGAAATCAAGTCCGCACATTGTCATCGTCTCTCCCAAATATGAATGCTAACCTGATCATGACATTAGATTTCGAGTCCAAGCCACCACAAATCCTGGCCTGTATCCAGTGAAGCTTTGCTTATACCGAACATCCCTGGGTCAGGACTCCAGACAAGTTGTTGCTTCCGGAACCTTGACACTTGCATTGAGTGGGGCTGCACTCGGGCCTCTACAGCTGACTTTCGTGGATGAGGGTAAGAACCACGTTTCATTCGCCAGCGCGGTGTCTCTTCATGAATTTGTTCGAGTTCACTTTTATTGACAAGCTTCATTTGAATTATCTACCAAACATGATGATTAGTAACATACACGATATGTGTCGAAGCAGTTGGAGATCCGTGTCTAACGACTGGCAGTGGCTATAGTTTGATAGCATACGCTGATCAGCCGCTCACCCTTTCCCGCCGTTAGTATCAGACTCGCCTTAAGCGATAACAGAGGTTTGCTGGTTTCAAGTGTCGCCCTTTCAACCACATCCATTGAAAATCGTTACGACAAACACGCTGGGTTCGTTTCTTTTTTTCTTAATACATTGTAGTAGAGTGGCTCGATTAGATCATACTGTATTATCATGTAATACAAGTGTCCTTCTGAATGTTCTCCAGCACTATCCACTGGATGGAAGCTCCTTGCGGAATCCGCTCGCCTTCGTGCCACTTGTAGTTGTAGAGGACTCTGGTCTCGATGCTCACTTCTCTTCTGACGACTCACTTCACACCAACTGCAAGCCCCATTCAGCACTCGGTATCCTCTGTGAAAGCGAGTCCAAGAGGATTCTTTATGAACCAGTAACCAGTTGTAGTAATATACAGCAAGTCTGTGCCTACACTTGATATCATTTATCCAGCAATGTGGCTGTGATCAAATATAGTACATATTTTCTTTTGATCTCATGTTACCTAACAATAGCCAGAAGCCTAGAAAAAAAATCACGTCCACAGCTGTTTGCTTCACAAATTTGAATCACGACAGAAAAACAACCCGCAAAGACAAACAGTCAACTGAACTACTGAGTGTGGTCACACATGCGGCTATACTGGATCAATTCAAGCGTGAGAGCGAGTGCGTCTTCCTGTGGTGTGGTGATGTAACACAAGATGAGACATTAGCTCCGCTATCTTCAGTAGATGATATCTTGGCGCTGCGATTCTATCTTAGCAATACTTGGATGACATGTAAGAACCACGTACCCATTTCACAAAAGGATCATGTCCACGGTCCGCAATGATGTTCACAGTATAATATTCGCCTTCGGGAAGGGTTGTCGGACCCGATTGAGGAACTGCGATCATGGACCGATCAATTGGCCAAATGAGTACGTGATTGTCACTTGAGGATGTCGTCTTTGGTTATAAATGACTCACGTGAAATTTTGGCCAGGGTGGTTTGTAACAGTCCGGTGGTCTGGATCTCACCAGGGAGAGTAGCTTGAGATTTTCCTTTATAGACGCTCATAAAGTCCTTAGGTTGATGAGTAGCATCCTGCAAGGTCCATCCTTTGGCAGAAGCCTCAAGGAAGTACGGGGGCCATTGGGCACCGCTTACACATTTGATGTCATTCTAGATGGGCAGAAATAATCATTAGTGAAAAATGTATAGCAAACCTAAAGATAAGTACTAACCAACTGTATGGAGGTGCTGGTATCAGAAGATCGATCCTCTTGCAGAGTGATTACACCCGGAGTGCCTGGCATAGGGATCACGTTGTACAAAGATTCACCATCGTCTTTATAGATTTTGGTTGGCTGATTGAAATCGATTTTTGAGTCGATATAGAATGTGACTTCAGGGGTAATCCGGGGACTTAGATCGACGATCTCTGTTCCAAGATCCGCAGAGCAATTTTCTGGGAAAAGGACGGAGAATAATAGTGCGGCCTTGAGAGATGAAACGATTCTTTGTTGAGAGAACATTGAAAAGATGAGTTGTGAAGATGGGGACTTGAGGAAAAGATCAATTCTGGGGATCAAACCGAATTACCAGCACGATCTATATAATGGCAGGAGCGACCAATTCGAAACACTTGAAACATATCCCCCGATCCTGAGATCTGACGACTAAACTAGACTACATACGTGATGCGATGCCGCAGCATCAAGAGAGCTGCCCCAGGTTTACAGCACGCCGCCGAGGAAGAGCTTCACTGTCAATGCGAATAATCTTGCTCGATCTTGCTCTACCGACTGCGAACACCCTAAATTTATCCAAGTCCCACGCTTTGTCAATGCAGATTGCATGAAGAAAGCATTGGGTGGAGATGGGTCAAGCTGTGCGGGCGAGATGTTTCAACTTTAGTGATGAACGGTGAAGCCTTCGTGTGGTATCCCAAAAAACACCGCCTCAGTTCATCAGGCTTCATCAGGGCTTGACCGGCCAAAGTGTCAAATCTCAATGATTGGTTGCTGGAATTACCCCTGCACTCGAGGTTCGAGGATACATGAGGATGTACATACCATATATAACCAAACAGACAGTCCTTTCGGTAGAGCTTTGAACCCCCTACAAATAACCAATTTAGTAGACAACTGGTCGTTGGGATGGGTTGAGAAACACCGTGACACTGACAAGCTGGTCCATATCACCTCAACTTCGATATGCAGATATCACAAATCAGTTCTCCATTCCGAGCAGGCCACAGGCTGAATTCTCAATAATTGAATGTTCGTATCAGATTAAGATCTCAAATACTGATATCATGTCGCTTTGTATCTGCAAAACTTGCGGTCCTTGATCTTCAATCAAAGCATGTCTCATCTGAACGGTGAACATGATCACTCCAGAAAGCTATTTTGTGAAGCTTCAATTTGTAAACCGACAATTGTTGCGAGAATAGTGACGAGATTCTGAGTCTTTGCTGTGCCATCCTTCCCTGATGAAGAAACAACGGCCCTCTCAAGTTGAACATTTTCATTCAGTCAAATTACAAGATGCAGCATAATACTCAAGCCAGTTGACCAGCACGAGAGAAAGATTATGTATAGGTATATGTGGCTTTCAAAACCTGAGACGTCAATCAGGAAGCCTGCGTTTGCAAGTTTAGAGGTGGGATTGTTCAGATGCTCTTACCTACACTCATCGACGAAGAATTGATTCATGTTATTGGCTGGCTCTTTGCAAGAACAGCTCACCACGATCGACTCGCGAGTATCGAAGGAGCACTAATCATCATACCACTCCAAACGTGTATGTCATTATCGCATTGATCGCAAGGTCCGTTTCAACATGCCAGTTGAAAAAAATGAAAAACTAGACACTGAGCCAGTTGATCAAGGACGTCATGTTCGCTCACAAAAGAAAAGAGTTTTGCGTTGGAATATACAAAATGAAAAGTGCAATTTGGAAATATTTGTAATGAAGGTCAAGCCACGAATCACTTGAGATGATTCAAGGACCTCCGTTCAAGCGCAGTGTCTCTGATCTTCTAGGATTTTGACAACAAGCACGATGGCATCGGTCTGATTGCGATCAGAAACCAGCAACGTCAGCTATTGGACGTCACATACGAAATAGAATGAAAAGCAAAGCGATCCCTGGTTTTAACGCACCTCCTCAATAAATGGGGAATGACCCTCGTCAGCAGGGAAATAGATTGAGTAGTAGTGACCCGCTGGTAAACCGGTCGGAGGATTGGGGTAGTCTATCCGATGCAGTTAAGGATGGAAACTTCAGCATATTGCTTTTCCTTGACCTGCACCCAATGGAGCACATCGATCAAGAGACAAAGAGAATTACCTGATATTTTGGCCACCATACCGGACATGGTGGAACTAACTTGGATTTCCCCAGCAGGTGCGCCTTTGGGGCTACGGACGAAGACCCGATCAAAGGAGCCCGGCTGATGGGTCGCATCTTGTAGGAACCATTGACCGCGCGGCGGGTTGTTTTTGTTGGCCTGCGTGACGTTTTGGTGAAAGAAGTACGATGTGGAAAGTGCAGAGCAATCACTGGGTTTTTCCTAGGTTGATTTGATGCCAAGCTGATGATCAGCGAAGGAAGACATAATTTACAGATCATACTTTTATGATTATTGAGAACAGCCGCTACCCACATCTTTGATCAGTCCAACGTCGAGCGGGTCGGTTGTTGATACAATTGCTAGGAAGTTCTCTCCGGAAGTAGACAATGGTTGTATCATGTGAACGACACGTCCTGTGTTGTCGAAAACTTCCGCTGGCCGAGTAAAGTCGATGTTGGTGTTGATGAAGATTGTCTTCTCTGGGGTGATTCTGGGACTCAGATCTGTTACCCCTTGGCGTTCTTCGGTTCCTGGACGAGGTGCAGCCGACGAAGTCAGCGCTAACAGACCAAGTGTTGCACATGAGGCTAGTGCTTTGAACATATCGGTTAAGAGAAAGTGCAGATGATGAGGTATGTGAAGTTGTGGATCTAGACTCTGCTCGGACTGGAAACACTTTGTCGCTACCTCGTCAGTACTTATACATATGAAGCGCCAATTGTCCACTCATGGGTTCCTAGTCGAACAAATGAGAATCTGACCGATTGGAGCTATCATGTGCTACAAGAAGAAAGCCGAATTTCGGAAGGGTGCTTAACAGGGCGCTCATGAACAACATTTTTTGGCTTTCTTCTGCACTTCTGAGCCTCATGTGGGTGGTTCTGTGACTGTCCGGGATTGATCAAAAGGGGTCGGAAAAGATGTGCTGCCATCCACCATCTGTTAACCCTGAGGGTGCCCACAAACCATCATCAACACATTGAGCCCATTTTGACAATGCGACTCCGAGTAACGTGTGACCGGTGTCGTTCCCAGCGAGTTCAACACATACACCGCCTCCCACAATCAAATCTGAAGACTTTAAATTCCAAGGCGTGGACTAGAATGATATGTGCATTGATTTCGGGTTGTGTCAGTCGTCCGCGAGGGGGGATCATTGGACTTTCGTATTCCTGGCCGCGTGAAATCCACATCGCCATTTGACTCTGTTCACTCATGCTCGAGTGGCCCGGTGCGCGGCGATCGCAATCCATGAGCCACATAGGTTTCACAGTACGAGCCATGTGGTAGCGCTGTGGTGCTCACAATGCTCAAGTGCATTTCCCTGCATCTCCTCAATCCAACTGCCCAGCAGAAGCATCGGAGCCTCCCCGAGGCAAGGCGGAAACTGCGGAAAATACAGAGTATACTCTGGAAGCCCTGCAGTGAGCACATATGTTTCAGCATCCAAAGGTAGAAAGGTTTTTTGAAGCTATGATCAATGCTGATGTTTACAACAGCACATATCATCAAGCAAAAATCAACAACATGCACTTCCCAAAAAAGAAGAACAACCTTTTGTCACAAATTACCAGCTGCCCAGATCATAGCCAACACTTACTGGCCATAGTCATCTGAAATAAATTGAAAATCAAAACTGTTTCATTTTTATTGTTAACCGATTGTTCTGATCAAGATCAATCCAATTGTTCTGATTGACATCCATCAATCTGATTGATATCATTTGTTCTTTTGAAGAAACAATCCAGGACACGTTGACCAAAAACAATTTTCCAATTATGGGTAAGAGCCATTGGAAAGCAATGATTGTTACTTTCTTTGTACATTGAGAGTACATTGAATCACTAGCCACTACTAAAAAGTAAAAGGGTGAGACTTTTTTATCTCAACCAAGACTGTTGTGTGTCTCTTGAGATAAGCTGAAACCATTCATTGTTGTATCTTTCTATCTTTCTTATTCACTCATTGTATACATTGTTGATCACATACTTCCAACCATCATGACACATTTGCAATCTCTTTTGTCTTATGTGTCACAGTGTTCTTTTATCCATCTCAATAATTCAGTTGTGGATTTCTGTATAAGTAGTTTGGTCAAAAGATCAAAAAAGGTTTATTTTAATTCCTAATTGGCTGTCTAGAAGTAAATCATGTTGACATCCACTACAACTGTTTCTCCATCAAAAATTCATAGTGTCATTGCAAACTCAGACCAAAAGACTCACCAAAGAAAATTGCTGCCATGGAAATGGCTTTGTTCAACCTGCCAACATCCCCGGATTGCCTTGAGGCCCAAATGGGGAATGCAAGGGAAAGTGAAAAGGGGGTAGTTGGGAATACTAACACAATTCCCCCATGATGTGAGTCTAAGAAGTATTTTTCACTGTTGATAGCCCAAGAACTACCCATTGCCACCATTGAGTTGGTGTTGCCTGCTCCAAAACCACCCCAACTAGCCATGAGGCCCACTTGCGGAACACTGGGAAATGTTGCAAGGGGGCTCTCAGACTCTGTGATACAGAGATTAAGCCCCTGTGATGTGAGTACAACAAAAATGTCACCCCTGAAATCAAACCAGTTGACAAGCTCTTGCCGTCTGTACCCAGATTAACCACTTCTTCCTGTGCTACAAATGCATCCTGGAACTTGTTGGCCAAGATTGATGCTGAGAACCCTAAAGACAAACCATTAAAATCAGCAGAAGAGTTAGTTCCAACACAGTACCACTGGTATATCAATATGTTTTGAAAGACAAGTGCCATGACCATACCTCCACACCACTGTTACAATTTCTGTATTGACCTAGTCCCTGGAGCAACCCAGCAAGATAAATATTCTCTTACCTGTTGAAGAGACCACACTTAACTAAATGATTGAAAAAGGCCTTGCCAAGGGCATGATCCAATGTACCACGTCACCCTGGGCTGCTCTAGTCCTCTTCACCAGGAAGAATGACAGAAACCTACGCCTGTGTTTTGATTATTGGAAACTGAATACCTTGACTGTTAAGAATAAGTGTCCACTTCCTCTCACAATGGATTTAGTGGATAGCTGACAGGATGCTGGAGACTTCACAAGCCTGGATATATGTAATGGCTATAACCCACTGAGAGTGAAGGAAGGCAACAAGAAGAAATTGGCTTTGATTTGTAAGAGAGTACAGTTCAGACCCCTTACTGTGCTGTTTGGACCAACTGGAGAACTTGTTTTTTAAATTTTTCATCTTGCATATACTACATGAAAAGATAGGAAGGGCCTTAGCCGTCTACCTGGACAACCCATTGATGTACATGCCAGCAGGAGTTGACCGTGAAAAGATTGTTGAGGAAGTATTACAGATCATACAAGAACACATTATTTGGTTGAAACCAGAGAAGTGTAAGTTCTTGTCAGTGCCCGAGCGCTTTCAACCAAGCACCAAAAGCACTTCAGAGAAGAGATTTCTTTTTACAATAATTCAACTTACGTATAATGAACATAATAACAAATTACACGTCTAGTAACTAAGACCACACTAAAATTGCTCACAACCTCGAGCAAGGAAGGAGACAAACTAATATACTATTTTACGTATAACAATGAAAACATAATAAAATTATAGCTCAGGAATCTAAAGCCTAGAGACTAAAAAAATTGAGCAGGAGCTCGTCCGCATGAGAAAAACATCAATTACGTAAAACGTGATCAATTAGATAAGTATACTAAGGAAGACTAGAACAACTTCTAACACTCACAGGAAAAAACTACCAAGACTATGTTAGAAGAATATCTATAGCATCAAGAGAAACGGACCATTGTGATCAGTTCACTAATCCTACTAAGCAAGAAAATTGGCTTACTCAAATACGTAAACAATACAAAAATACTCCCATGGTTATCTAGCAAACCTAAGTGCACTAAAAGAACCACAAGTCAAGCTTACCTCCAGGAAAAGTATAAAGACTCAAACAATGAACCACCAAGAGAGAAGGGCATTGCAATCCACCCCTTTAAAATCAACAAGTAAAGAACCAAGTCAGTTCTTCCTTCTAGAGATCCAGCTAGATACAGCAGTATAAAGATTAAAACTTATCCACAAGATTCGCCTTTAACCCTTACTTGTTTTATCCTGTTCCATCTCCTTAGATCAAAGATAGACCCAGTTCTTACCAGTTATTTTAAAGCCTCGTGAAATAAACGTACTTAACCTTCTCACTTTCTTCTCGAAACAATATTCTTAATATCTGATTTCTACCTTTCCCTCTGAACCCTTTTCTTAGTCTTGTAGAAGCTCTCTGCACTACACGGTTAAGGCTTCTATACTGACAGTCAATTTCAGTTATTGCATATTAATTCCAAATAAGAATTTATCGTTGCTTACTAGGATCATTTAGTAAGTAATCTTCTACTTAGTCAATACCCGTTCTCTCAATGCAAAGCTGTAGAGATCCCTGTTTACCTTGTGTACCAGGCTACTCCAAAAGCTTTTGAGCTAGAAGAGATTAAACTCAGGTCTAGGGTTGACTGCCCCTCTGCTGTTAGACTAACAGTAGGCCTGTGGGTTTCGTAATAGAAACACTTTGCAGTCAGTAATAAACTGATTGTCTTCCTTTACCTACATAATTGATCTTATTAGGTAACAACCAGTGCTTATCCCACGTAACCAGCGGGATAATTTGTCAGGTTTCATACTTTAGTGAGTAAACTAGACTATTTCACTAATAGTTTTATAGCCACCCTGACAGTTCTCATGCAAGGAAATTAAATACTTGGGCTTACTTATCTCAAAGAACAAAGGGTGTATGGACCCACTCAAGGTCTGTGTGGTGATAAAGTAGCCTATACCAAAGAAAGCTACACAAATCCAACAATTTCTGGGACGTCAAACTTTCATAGACAGCTGATTATTGGCTTCTCACAGATCACAATACCACTGCACAACCTAACCCAAGAGGACATACCATTTGAATGGAAAGAGGCCCAACAAAAGGCATTTGACACAATGAAAACTTCCTTTACAACCACACCAATCCTGAAAATTGCAAATCTGTATATAGTCCTTTCATTGTGCGACTGTTCCGATCTTGCATTGGTCACTGTTCTGTTGCAGCTTGATCATAAATATGTCCTACACCCCGTGGCATTCCTTTTGCATCCACTAGTCCAAGCCAAACAAAACTACAAAATCTTTTATAAAGAATTGTTAGCCATTGTTCTGTCATTCAAGGAGTGGAGACATCTACTAGAGGGCAACCCCAACTGTCTTGAGGTCACAGTCTACACAGACCACAAAAAACTGAAAGCTTTCATGACAGAAAAATAAAGTACGCAAAGACAGGCCCATTGGGCTGAGACTCATGTGGTGGGCATGAGCTTGAGATAAAGTACGCGCCTGAGGGGGTCGGGTGCGCCCTCATTTTGGCTGAGGGCGCAAGAGGCGCAAAAAAGTAGACAAAAACGGGTCACCTTTTTGATGATGCTTCATCAATCAAATCTTCTATGTCCTAAGAAATATTGATTGTCAGCTGAGGTCTAAAAGAAGAAGCCTTTTATAGACTCTAGACTGAATTTTCTTGCTCGAATCTGGAATTGGACAGTTGGGGTGGGCTTTGTTTCAGCAAAGT